TCCGTCCAAGGGTTCTCCCACAGGGTTACCTTGGTCAGGAAATCGCCAAGGAGTTGGATTCAGGGGAATACAAGAATGCCGCTTCGGCCTAGGGGAATCCTTTACTCCTTCACCCCTCGCTTACTCTTCAGCCTGAAGCAGTGGGGGACTGGGGGACTACACCGGCCGTTGGAAATCAAGAGGACAAAATCAAAGAAATCCAAAAATATACTAAGTCCACAACTACAACATCAGATCACATATGCACCACATCGTCCATGACCTCGTGGTGCACCATCGGCCGCAGCTAAGTCAGCAAACAAAGAATTCCCTCCAAAAATGCAACACCTAAGATCACAGGGCACTCAACGGCTTTGAGACCGCATTCTCCACCCTCGGCCAGGAATTAAGACAGGAACTCAACGTCCTCAAATCACCATCGTCCATGAAACCCTACGAATACCACCGCTCCTCGGCCAAAAGCACAAAATAAGAACTACGACGGCCAAAGAAAGCAAACAGCGCCCTCACTGGCCACCCGGAAACGAAAGGAGACCCATCGTCCCCAAAACAGGAGATAACCACAACGGTCTCCTCGGCCCAAAGTACGAAATTCGACCATCAATGGTCAGGAGTAAGGAAGCACCGTCTTCATCGTCCACTCATGACAGAGAACGTTCATCGTCTCCACCAAGCAAAGGCACTTGTCGTCCTCAACAGGAAACAACATCATCCGCATGGCTATGGCACTCTTCGTCCGCAGCAAGGGCCACACAACGGTCAGAACGTAGCGCGCCCGTAACAACGAAAAATAAAGGACCAAAGCAAAGGGTGCGCATAACGGCCAAGACTCCATAGCGGCCCCACAATGGCCAGAAAACGTCAACGCCAGGGAATCTACTCTCCTTCACTTCTATGAAAACGCTATGTTTCATTTACATTCCATAGCGTTTGAAAGCTGCTATTGAAACCTTATAACTTACTATAACATGTCCTGATATAGCGTTTTTCAAAACGCTATACTATAAAATCATAGCGTTTTTCAACTGCTATGGATGGTAGTAGTTGTAGTGATAATTGATCCAAACATGATTAAAACGTTATAAAAGTGTCAAGTAAGTTAATTAGACTATATGTTTTAATTTCTAAAAATAGGAGTTACAATTATATAGTTACCCCTTAAACTTTGGGAAAATGGAAACTAATAATCCAGTCTTTTACGGTGTTCTTACAAGAGTCCCACCTAATCGTAATTAAGTAATAATCTAACATTTGCATCCAATCTTCATTCGTTGGTCCCTGACCGGTTGATGACATGCAATTCCAGGTTATTTTCTTTTCTTTGCAATCACCCAATCTTTATTTGCCGGAACCAATCACCTTATATAGAGTTTTGAGATAGGGAGCGTTTGGAATCGATTCTTCTTCTTATTTAAAAGTAGAAATAGAATTAGAATCAATTTTTCAGAAATTAATCTACATCAACTTCTAAATAGTTGCTTCTAAGAGCAATTTTGAGCACTAAGAAGTAGGGGTGGAAATATTGGTTTGGTTTAACTGAACCAAATCGTGCGAAACCAAACTAAACTGAACCGAAATCGGGCTATATGCAATTTGGTTTGAGTTTGGTAGTATTTTTTCCGAACTGTATTAAACTGAAACCAAAACCGATAAAAACCGAACGAAACTGAACCAAACTAAAGAAATTCAATAAAACCTTTATTTAAAAATAACAAATCCAAACCGAACCAAACCGAACCAAACTGAACTAAACCGAATCAAAACATAGTATGGTTTTTGTTTGGTACTAATTCTCTAAACCCGTTCCAAACCAAATTGAACCGAAATGGATAAAAATCAAACCGAAAACCTATATGTCCACCCCTACTAAGAAGTACTTCTACACTTTTGTCCAACTAATACTGTTAGAGTGTAATTCTAGGGAGAATGGAAAGTTAGAAAGAGAAAGATCTTTGCATTCAATGTTTTTCGACTTCTATACATACCTTCAAGGGGAGTATTTATAGAGGAAGTGTGAGTTGGGTTCTCAGGTTCTGGAAGGCCCGATTACATGCATGATGGGCGCGCCAGCAAGTGGCTACTTACATGAAGCTATACTACCAAGTATAAGGTGAAAGCTAAAGGCCCTGACCGAGGTGATCAGGCTGAGGAGGCCTGGCCGTGGTGACTATTCTTGACCTAAGTTGTTGGATCCATGTCCTGAGTTCATTACTTCTGAGAATCTTTTGTGTAGATGGACCTTGTCTTGCTGAGGAGCCCCGCCGACGGTCGGGTACTCCAGTAGTTGTAGGCTCGTTTGTGTATCCATGAGTATGTGGGTTGTGGGTCGATGCTCATATACTCTATCAGTTATAATTTTTGTTTTGACTCTCTCAAGGAGTAGGAGCAATTTTAAGAAGTATAAGCAAAGTCCAACCACCACATAGTCTTTCTAAACTTTATCAATCTCATTTAAAATATAATGGATCGGATTAGAGGTTGCTTAAATTTTTAGAAGTGGAAGGTGTACACTAAAATGATGTACATTTTTAGCACTCCTCTCTTTTTATTCATATTTTGGAAATTTAAATGTGTACTTGGATTCTTACACCTTTATAAAAAATCACCTCCCACTTTGGGAAGTAATTTAAAACTATTGTATGTCAACTACAATTAGGTACATATTCAAAAAAACATGATACGTAGCGCTTTATTTTAATACGGAGTAATGCTTATATGAAATAATAACGTATGATTAGAATAAAATTTATTTACAAACATGTGACGTCATAAGTGTACTTACTCTAGCAATAAATTGTGTTTAATCATCACATTTAAATGATCATGACACTACTCATAACAGCTTAGTCATGCTTTGTAAATAAGTATTATTTTACTACTATTTTTTAAAAAATAAAACTTTATTTTATTTGTACTGAATTAAACATATTTTAAATCAAACTAAAACCTAGTTTAGTAGTTAGCGCGTTAAATTCCATACGCAAAATGATTGATTGCAAAATTTAGGGAATCAATATTTGTTTGTATTCTATATGTAATTTGATTAGTCAATTTACATATAGAATAAAAACAAATAGTTTGGTTATGTGTTTAATTTTTTTATAAATTAAACACAAATTCCATACTTTATAAAAGTTTGTAAAATATTTTACCACTATCAAGTAAAATAATTTACATGGTAAAATGCGAAATTTGTAAAGAAATGTCTTATAATTTACATTAAATAATTAAATCAATTGATTAAACTCTTCAATCACATTCATGCATTTCAAATGCAAGATGGTGTTCATAAACACCATCCTCATTAGACAATTATAATGCATAAGATAAGATGGGATGAAATAAAATACGCTATATATGTCGGAATCCATTTGATAACATTAGAATTGTTTAAATCGGCTGAATTTGTTGAAATTTATGAAATTTGTTATTGAATTAGTTGAATTGTGAAAAAAATCACATGAAAGATATATATTCCATTCATAAAATTAAGAAAAATTTATATGAAGAAAAGCTAAAATGATTTTTACAAATTATATGAAAATAATTTCAGACAATTCAGATAAAAAAAAGTAACCCTAACTTTGTTTATATGAATTATTATAAGTAATTAAAATTTACTGATTAAATTAATTGTATTAACAAACGGGTTTGTTGAGGTTTATTCCTTCAACCCGTTAGGCCCAACACGTGTCCTAAGGGTTTCGAGTGGAAGAGTGAACAAGCTAGATGAAGAAACAAACAAGGAAGGTCTAATAAGAAATCTGGGTATACTGTATTGACAACAAAGCCGAGAGGCCGAACGTACAATGCTATGCTATGAGCTGATACAATTGCTAGAGTGCTAAAGTGTTAAATTGCGAACCATTTACAGTGAAATAAATGTTTGTATTTATACTGCCAATGGATAGTTGGATGCGTTGACATGGCTAGCTGTGGGTGGTACGATCCCAACCACCAAATCTTCTGCATTAAATGCGCTTCCCGCCAGAATCTTGGTTTCCCGCCAAAGGATGGGGACGTTCGTCCCCATGCGCTTGCCTCCTGTTTGCCGCTAGACCCTTGACATCCTGTCAAGGGGTGGGGACGTTCGTCCCCATGCACTTGGCTCCTGTCTCCTGCTGGAGTCTTGACATCCTGCCAAGGGGTGGGGGCGTTCGTCCCCATGCGCTTACCTCCTGTTTTCTCCCGGACCCGGAGTCCTGCAAGACGAGCATCTTGAGCTCTTCTTGGGCTAGGATACATGCTGATAGTAGGGTACGTACGTCCCCTGACCCTTGGTACTGAAGTTTGACCCTCTTCGGGACAAAACTCCTCCTGAACCAGCGGACAGGTAACCCATCGTCTTGGGCCTCCAACAGGACGTCCGTAGGAGGTCCTCATGGGCCTTCTGGGGACGTTCGTAGGAAGTCCTTATGGGTTGATGGGCCGGCCCTTGTCGGGCCATTAAACCAACAGGGTTGTTCTCTAAAAAAACAAAGTGTTTGTGGGTGTATCATTGTTATTATTGGGTTGGCTAACAAGATTACATGTGCATATTATAAGTTAACAATTTTAAAAAAAATAGTTATAACATTCCTCCAATGTATTGATTTGCTACTCTTGTATATTAAAAAATGGAAACAGCTGTAATATCACGTGAATAGATATACCATTAATTTAAAAGTGGGATCAAAAGATCAACTAATGAAAACCGATGAGATCTATTTGTTTCTTCATATCTTAATATCTTATGTTGTGCAAATTGTGTAATGGATGTATATTGTACCGAGTATACGATTATTCCGATTATAATCATTCCGAAAATATATGGTTAAAACATAAGACTATATCCACGGACACACGTGGCGCCAGCTGGAGCGTCAAAAGCGGTCATCTCACCATTGTTCCCCGCGCCACCAAATCCCCATTCTTTACCGCAGTACTTTTCCTTCACCTTCTTCGTTTTTTGGCCTAAGTTTTTAACCCTTGTGCCTAAGAACCCTATCCTTCTTTTTCTTAATGAATTATTAATAGGTTTTAAGATTTCCCTTCTCCACCCACCGCCCACCATACTTTCAATCTTCGCCTATTCATAAAGATTTCTTTTTTTTCTTCTGTTTTTTAATTCTATCATACTAATAATTGTTGACATAATAGTTTATCCACAAAATATATACCTTTTATTACCTATGTTTGTTTGTGTGTAATAGAGAGAGGGGGAGAAAGAGGATAGGGATGGAGGAGGGCGGTGTGGCAGGCGGTGATGGTAGACGGGAGGAGGAGGAGGAGAAGTTGCTGGACGGGGTGGCGATGTTGGATTTTGATATGCTTTGCTCAACGGTGGCCATGCAGGCCCGGAGTGGGAAATGGGGCAAGCTGGTATATTTGGATGGCGAAGAGGAAGAAATGGGTGGGCATGAATACGGGGTTAATGGAGAAGGGAGGGGAGCTTTTAGGATGTGGGAAGGGGAGCTGCTGTATGATTGCTTAGATGACCGTCGAATCGCTCTTCAATCTACTTGGTATATGAAAATAAACAAGCTTCCTTCTCTTTTTTGTTTCTTCAACTTATTTTTCATTACAATTTACAACCCAAGTTTTGGGTTTTTATTTTTACTAATAAGAGTTCGTTTTGTTACCTTAAAGATCTATGTACCTTTTCCCTATCCCCAGTAGAAAAACTTTAATTTGAACTGTGATAGGTGTTGGGGTGTTCAGGGGTGTGGTAGGTTAGGGTTTTAATTCTTCTTTTTACATGTTGGTCCTGTTTGAGTAATTTGTGTTTCAGCTGCTTAGGGTATATTCATATCTTTACCTGAATTTGATCTTTTAGTAGATATGGTTTAAATAGGTAATTCTTACTTAGGGCTCTATTTTTACTTATATGAGCATTCCTAAACGATAGGCACTGATTAAAGACTTTATTTTTGTAGTTGCCCGTGCTACAGATTTGGGAAGAACATGAAGCGGGCTGGTTCTAGATCTTGTTTAATTCAGGTAAAAACAGTACATTCATCAATTTTGATATTTGTGGTATGCATTTGATGTCAATGCTATTATCTATTGCAATTTGCAAGGCCAATTAACTTTTAGTGGTCTAGACTTTGCCCGAGCGCAAGCATAGGGTAAAAATCGGAGAATCTTTTGAGGAAGAATTCTTTGCAAACTGCAAGAATATGGGTTTTTTGGATTGGAGGTTTTGGAGGGTAGGCGAGGCGTGATACCTACAATTATCCCCCTTGTTTGTTATGATATTTTTGAAAAATAACTACTCCGTATATGTTTAGTTATTTACTTAAATCAAACATTTTGTATTAGTTTTGAGTTTTCATTTTCTTTTCAACCATCTAAATGCAAGAGTAAATTGAGTAGGTATCATGCCTCACCTCCCTTCAAAAATATCATAACCAAACAAGGGCCGAGATTGTATAAAGACTTTCTTATTGGGGCCTCATAACTGGAGTGAAAGCTGAACTGTAACAAATCTATAGAAAAGAGGCCCTAAATGAGACGTATTTATATTGGGCCGTAAATAGGCCATAGATAATGCCTTTAATGGAGACTGACTACCCGTTATGGAAAATTCATTCAGTTCTCTGGACTACACATAATCTAAATAAGAAATTGCTCTAAGTATGACAAAAGCATAGACAAAGTGCACAAATTGGTGTTTTTCTGCTTTATTTCCAAAATAAGACTTATTTGGTGCTATTAGAAGTATAAAACTTCCCCTAATAGGAGTTAATGAGGCTTACATTAGGAGGAAAACAATGGTGATTCTATTTGTGCACTTTATTTATGTTTCATTCATATTTAAGGAATTCTCTCTAATCTAAAAGCACTACTCAAAGCTAAATTAATTAAAAACAGGAGACGGCGAGGGATGGCTGGTATCCCATAGTTCACATAGCGTGTGGCGACAACCATGGCGATGAGCTAGTTTTCTGTAGCTATGGCGAAGGCGCATTTATGGCGTTGCCCAATGACACAAAATAAAAACAAGTCTAAATATGAACCGCACATCATATATATATGATTCAACCACTAATAAGATAGTAAAAGAAGTAAATAATTAATTTTTAACCAAAATGCACTTGGGGAAATTCAAATAGTATAAAAAAACATAATAACAAAAAGGTTCTGGATAAGAAGTATTTCAAGTATAAATATTTGAGGACTAGGTTGTAAAATAGATATCTGTTGTGGATAGGAAGTAGATGTATTTGAGGACTAGGTTGTAAAGTATAACAAATTAACAATATTGTGGATGCAAGTTAAATATTTGAGGACTAGGTTGTAAAGTATATCTATATTGTGGATGATAATTTGAAATATTTGAGGACTGGGTTGTTAATATATGTGTATTGTGACAAGAATTAGAAATACTCTAGGACTGGGTTATAAGCAACTCTGTTTCATACACAGGCGAAAAAACTAGAATTAATCTGTGTAACAGACGTATGAACAAAAACTGTGAACATTTTGAATGCAACATGAAAAGTCGGATAGTCTGTGTCCTTAGTTTTGGTGCAGACACTATGTTGTTTTTCTAAACTCAGATTAAACAATCTGGACCAGATTTGTGGCTCGTGTGGTGTGGCGGTGGAGAAAAAATGGCGTCCGCCGCATGTATGTTGATCACCTTGGAGCGTAGGGAAGACGGCTGCGAATGCCATTAGCAATTTATGCCGCGTGCCATTCGTGCCATCAATAACTACACTAGTGTCTTACAATGATAATTGTGCTTGACCAAAAAGTTAATCAAACAAACCTCAAAATGACTGATGTATATGCTACAATTATTCCATGTTTTTTAAAGTTCATAGTGTTTATTTTTGCAGGGATCTATATATACAATTGTTGTTATGATAGCCCTCATAAACATGCTAGCATTTGTGGTTACAAAGAGACATTATTTTCTTTACTTATCTATTGCCTTTACCATCTCTTTGGGGACATATTTGGGACTTTGCCGAATCCAAATTAGGAAAAGGTTTCATATCAAGGTAAGTTTTTTCTTTCCTCAACTTGGTGATTTCAAATTTCTGATTGGTAATGAATTAATTTTTAAGTATAACACCTTGTGGTGGGTCAAGTCTCGATTTGTGGAGAAGAGTGAAGATAGGCCATTAAACTCCCTGATAATTGTCCTTGGGAAAGTATTTTTGTTCTTTGGAGGGTGGCCAGTACATTTCGGACCAAAACTATTTTATTGACACTGCGTTTTACCAACATTTTCTTATTTTAATTTATCTTTACCCGCAGACACTTTTCTGAACTTTCTTATGGGACTTTTTGGTACTCCAAAAGTATTAGGGAAGCATGGGAGAAATTTGGAAGATACTGTGTCAAACTCAATTTTGTACTCTGTTTTACATAAAGACTCGGAAAATTAAATGTGAAAAAAATAACAAATATTTATATAAAAAATCCTTTGCCATTTTTGAATTATAACCGAACACTAAAATATCTTCAGTTAGCATTTTCCAGAATCCAAATATACCTTTCATGTTAATCCTAGAAAATCTTTTTCCATGTTTATTACCCATGAGCTTTATTTTTCCTCTGACTTTGCTAAAATGTCTTGTTTTTCTGGTAATATATGAGTGCGTGGTTCTGCAGGGTAGTGATAGTCAACTGGATGATTGTGTCTACCATATCATTTGTCCATGCTGCGCGATGTGCCAGGTATGTTCTCCTTCCCAATCTGGATTTATAAAACATAGAAATTTGCATTCCTGGGCAAATACAAGAATACAAACACACATATTAAGGATTGAACTCACTCTTTGACTTTTTAGGATGAAACTTAGGATCTTAATATTTGTAGAGCCTATTTGGTAACACCAAAATTTGCTGAACATGCTGAAATTGCTTAAGTTGTGGTTGAATCATAAAGTAATTATTTTTACAATATATATTATCAATAAAACAACTTCAAATAAGACAATCGAGTCAGAAAAGTTTGTTTTGATAATTATACGGAGTATTATTCACCGTGTGAAATCAAAATTGATTGTTTGGTAAAAAATCTTGCTGATAAGCCAAGAACTGAGGTACCAAAGATCATTAAATAATGAGCAATGCTGTAATTTGGAGCAGGAAACAAGAACATTGGAAATGAACAATGTCCAAGATGGAATCTGGCATGGCAGAGGTGATACAATATGTGTAGGTAGCTATTCTGCGTTTGGATTGAATCCACCTCCCATCCTGTCTATGAAGTCACCTGAACCCATCTCCAGTTCCCATCATGGCAATCAACAAAATGCTTCTGAAGGCGGACATCCTTCAACTCCGGCGGTTCCATCATCCTATGAGTGATTCGATATACCTGTTGCGAAAATTAGATTCAGAGCATCGTTCTCTTAGGTCCTTTCCCCTTTGTTTCAAAACTGGCCCTGTGTAACTAATGTAAATTGTGTATATTAAGGCTGCATTGTGATTTGCAACTGTAATTTCAATACAGAAGTTAGAGCTGATAGAGAAATGAGGGGTTATTAAAGTTCTGACCTAAACTGCTTGATGCCTTGATCTGGATGCATTTTGGCCTTTTGGGTGTGTCATTGCTCAATTTACAGCAAGGGTGATTGGATCTGCTTTTTAAAGCTTCCGTTCCTTCAGGTAGCAGAGAGTCAATTATTAAAGTGTTCGAGTAGAATTGCACTTTAAGTCCCTCACCCCCAACCCCAACCCCCCAAACACCCATCCCTACCCAAGGAAAAGAAAAAAATTGAAAAAACAAAAAAAATTGACCGGGCCTGACCTGAACCGCCCGGGCCGGTTCATGAAAATCATGGCCCGAAACTGGCCTGCCAGAACCGCCCAAACCGGGCTAAAGCTCGGAACCGGCCATCCAGGCCCGGTCCGGGGCGGGCCTGCACAGTAGCAGGCCAGTCCGGTTTTGAGCCGGTTCGGCCCGACCCTGTCCACCCCTAGTCTAGCTTCTGAAAAAAGGGAGATTTCCGAAAATAGGAGTAAATAGAGTTTGGAATTCCAAAATAAGGCTACTATGTTTTTATCCCTGAAATAGGATTAACATTACAGTATTTACTGGTATCTTGTAGGCATGATTGCCAAATTGTTGTAGTATAGTGCATTTAACAAGACAATATTAATTATAATTAATAACTATTTTTTTCAATTATGACAATATTTTTCATTTGGGCAGTAATAACCCCTATTCTGGGAAGAAAAACAAAATAGTCATATTTTGGAATTTTAAACTTCATTTACTCCTATTTTGGATAATTTTCTAAAAAAAATCATTCTGATTTTACAACTTTTAAAAAAGTAGTAGAAGTGGTATCAACTCCAGACACCTCCTAACACTCAAAAGAAAGATTTACATCAAATTGAAGATTGTTGCTCGGGGTGGACTGGGATAGGCCAGGTCTCGGGCAAGCTTCGGGACTAAGTAATTTAGGCCCGGTATCGGGCTCATGTTGAGCCTAAACATCACTGGGCCGGGCCTAAACACTACCGGGCCGGGCTGGGCTTAAACCCGTTCAATCAAAAAAAATTATAAGAAAAATATCCTTTGGGCCCGAAACTCGTCCCAGGCTGGGCCAAAAATTCAAAACCGAGGCCCGCTTCTAATAGCCCGGGTTGGACCGTCCTATCCCAGTCCATCCCTAAATGTTGCAAGGAAGACCAAAAATACATTTTATGTGAGGATCAAATTAAGAAGCGCCAAAGTAACTGTCTTTACAATTTTGCCATCAATATTCAATTACATTCCCTCCCTGATTCTCTCCACATAAAAACCACATGCTTTTCCGCCCTTCATTGTATTAATTATTATCATTTGGTCCAAAAGGTGGAATCTCCCACCCTAGGTTGGACTCGGGCCGGGTGGCCCGACCCGGAATCGGCCCGGGACCGGTACTGTTCCGGCCCGGCTCGAACCGGTGGCCCGGTCAGTGACCGGTCCGGGTAGGCTCGACCCGGTGGGTTTCCGGTCCGGGCTCGGGTCACCCATAACAAGGCCCGGCCCGATCGGGCCCGGTTCGGACCATTTTTTTTTTGGTTTTTTTCATTTGTTTGGGCTCCACCGGGTTGGGCTTGATGTTTAGGAGGGGTTTGGGGGTGGGGGTGAGGGGGGGTCAGGGATGGGTAGCTAAGCAAAAAAAAAAATAACCAAACCCGAGGCCCGGACCGGACCCGGTGGCTACCCGGGCCGGTCCCGGGTCCAGCTATATAGAATCGCCGGCCCGACCCGGCCCGAGTCCAACCCTATCCCACCCCAGGAGCCCCCACCTTGACCCGACAGGATGGTAGGGAGGTTAATCACGATGACTCAGTCAGTAAAGCGGTGGTAGACCTTATACATGTGCGCACCAAAGGTCCAACCTTATTTCAGGTTCTGTAACTCCACACGACCGCTGCGGGTTTCGAATCTTGGTCACTGGGTCCAATTTTCTCACCACTGGACCAACCGAGCTACCCATGCGGGTATTAATTAATTATTATCATGTTGTGCTATTCTTGTGTGAATTAATCGGTTAGATTTGGAATTGAATGGGTATTTTTCTAAGAGGGCTTAGCTTGTAGATATGGTAGGGGAGTAGGCCATATCACATCAGTTAAGATCTAGACACAATTTGATTACTTTTTTATCTACTTGTCCACTTTTTAAGCTTTTGAAATTGTATTTTTTATGTTTTACATATTGGAGTTCTAGTTAATGATAATGTACACTTGTAGGGTACGTTCCTCTTAGGGGTGGGTACCGTTCTTGCGGTTCGGTTTTGACCTAAAACCAAATATAGAATCAAAGTAAAAAGTTCGGTTCGGTTTCGTTTCGGTTCGGTTCTACACTCCAAAACTTGGAATCACGGTTTAATTGGTTTGGTTTGTTTCGATTCGGTTTCGGTTTATTTGGTTTTTTACCAAAAAAAATATCATTTGATTTAAAATTGATATAATACTTTGAGGGATCAAACATATATTACATATAGAATGCAAGCACACTACAACAAATAAAATAAAAATGAAAATAAATAAATATGTCATGAATTATATGAGTATGCGAGAGAGATAAAAGTATATATTATTAATTTACATTGTTTGTGACTAGTTCAAAAAAAGTTCATGAGTATATACGTTATATGTGATATAGTTGAGATAAATATTTATTGTTTCATCAATACGAATTTTTTAAGTTAAATAAAAATAAAAGTTAATTAATACTAATAACAAGTAATAACATATTATCAGTATAACTACATTATTACGTGCAATGAATGTGTAAATGAATTCACAAACTAAACTAAACATAATAAACATTATTTCTCTAGCACAAGAAAACCAAAAACTATTAATGATATTAGGATTAGTTAGGATTAATGCTTGACAATGGACAAATAAATTTTACTCCGTATATTTTAACTAGTTCGATTTGTGCGGTTCGGTTCGGTTTTGAAGGGTAAAAACCAAAACCGAACCAAACAACTACGGTTCGGTTCGGTTTTTTACATTCGGTTTCGGTTTGTTAGCGGTTCGGTTTCATTTGGCTACAGTTCGGTATGATTTGATTCGGTTTTCGGGTTTCGATTTTTCAGACCCAACCCTAGTTCCTCTCATTTGAAAACTATAGCTCTTATGATTGTAAAAACTAAAAGTAACAGCTCAGATAACAATTACTATCTCCGCCCCATAATTTACTTCCGAAATAAAGTGGCACGCGGATTAAGAAAGTGAGAATTGTGTAGTGGAGAGTTGTGCAGAGGAGAGAGAAATGCTGTGAATCACAAATTCTTTGCCAAAAAAGGAAAGGGAAATTCTTTTTGGGACGGACGAAAAGGGAAAGTTGGAAGTATTTTCAGGGACGGAGGGAGTACTCCGTATAAGAGAATCCGTATAAGAGAAGAAACGAGCTTTCTATAGCTCAAAATCCTACACATGGAGCATGCACTAACTCACTTGACTTTATGATAATTCTCAACCCAAACTCCTCAAATATTGATGTTTTATGTTTTATCATTGTCATATTATTGTCACATAAAAAATCTTATATAATAGTAGTATCACTACTTATCAATCAATCCTCAATCGTGATTTCTATTTACTCCATTTTATACGGAACTTCTTGATGTCCTTTAACGTGTATGTGTGTCGCCAACTTATGATAAGGCATTCTTTGAGTAACAGAAATGGTTAGATTATAATGATTTCTAGTCCGATCATGTTTAATTAATTAAATATGGTTTTGTTTGGTCTAGTTAGGTCTTAATTGAGAATTGAGATGTTTGTTCCATGTCCATTTCAAAATCGTCAAAATCTTGTCTGATTCGGTCTGTTAGTCTACTTCATATACTCACTCTGCTCCTGAATTATCTTCCAACTTTCTTTTGATAAAAATTGTAGTTCAAAACATTTCTTACACATTCTTACCTAATCTCTCTTTATGCACAACTCTTTATCATAAAAACCCTTATTTGGAAGTTAATTTAAAGATAGACGAGTATAAATCGTATACTCTCTCTGTCCCATTGGACTTTGCAAACTTTTTCATTTTAGTTGTTCCAAAATACTTTGTCAATTTCCCATTAAAGTAACTAATTTGTGTTTCTGTTTAGTTCTCTCATTTGCAAAAATTTCAACGACACAATTTTTACTATTCTTATTCCTCACCTAATTCGAAGAGTATGCCGTAATTAAACATGTGTGCTAATATGATCGACAAATTATATTATACAGTCATGTGTACCGTGTGCATAGTACATGCAGTTTATTTGTAATTATTTTCAAGGGTGAGGGTATAAATTGATTATTTTTTTCCTTTTTTCTACATCACGTTACGTGCTAGCTGTTTTCTTTTTTCTTTTTTCTTTTTCTTTATCTTGTATGACCGCCTACGTCTTCTTCTTTTCTATTTTATTTTTATATTTCCTTCTAGTTTTGTCTCTAACTAGTATAGTACCCGTGCATACGCACGTGAAAGAACATTTGGTTCATATATTTTTACTCACGATTTAATTAAATATTAAAATAAAAATACTTTGTAAAATTCAACATTTTTGAAAAATAAGAGTACAATAAGCTAATACCATAAAGTATAAGCCCATTAAATACATATCCAATGAGAGTATATCAGGAAAAATCATTTGACACCATTCATTAGAATTTACTACTTATAAATTTTCATGATTAAATTAAATTTAAAATTAAATACTATTCTGAAAAAGTGAGAACAATAGGTGGGTGACATAAAGTTTAAGTGAGTTGAATAATTATTAAAATTGATGAATAGTATTAGTTGAAAAAGAAGTTGGTACTCATCAGTTAAATTAGAATTAATATATGAGAGAGAGAAAATTATTCTGCTAAATTTTCAACCAATTTCTCTTATGCCTAAAAGAAGTACATATGACAGAAAATTGTCTCACTCGATCAATTGTTAGTCGGATTTGTTTATACCTAAAAACACTACATATGAGAGATAAATTCTCCCGCTCCATTCCCTCGCTCAACTGTTAGCAACTTATCTTCTAATATCTAAGAGTAATATATATATATATATATATATATATATATATATATATATATATATATATATATATATATATATATATATATATATATATAAGAGCATA